GTAGAGACGGGGTTTCACCATGTTGATCAGGATGGTCTCGATCTCTTGACCTCGTGATCCACCTGCCTCGGCCTCCCAAAGTGCTGGGATTATAGGCGTGAGCCACCGGCCCGGCGTAGATTATTTTCTTACGATGCTGTTGTTTGAGTTCTTTATATCTTTCAAAAAACAATCCCTTATCAGACATATGGTTTGCAAATATTTTCTCTCATTCTGTAGGCTGTTTCTTCAATCAGTTATTTCCATTTATATGCAAACACTTTTTTGTTTGATGTAATCTCATTTGTCTATTTTTGCTTTCATTATCTGTGTTTTGGAGTCATATCCAAGAAAATAATTGCACAGATCAATGTTGTGTTAGCTCGTTCTTGCGTTGCTATAAAGAAATACCTGAGGCTGGGTAATTTATAAAGAAAAGATGTTTATTTTGGCTTATGGTTCTGCAGGCTCTAAGGAAGCATGGTGTTGGCATATGCTTCCAGTGAGAGCATTGGGGAGCTTACAATAGTGGTGGAAGATGAAAGGGAGAAGCATGGCCGGGCGCGGTGGCCCACGCCTATAATCCCAACACTTTGGGAGGCCGAGGCGGGTGGATCACGAGGTCAAGAGATCAAGACCATCCTGGTCAACATGGTGAAACCCCGTCTATACTAAAAATACAAAAATTAGCTGGGCACGGTGGTGCGCACTTGTAGTCCCAGTTACTCAGTTGGCTGAGGCAGGAGAATTGCTTGAACCCAGAAGGCGGAGGTTGCGTTGAGCCAAGATCGTGCCATTGCACTCCAGTCTTGGTAATAACAGCGAAACTCCGTCTCAGAAACAAAAACAAAAACAAAAAACCAACATTTTTTCTAGAGACAAGATTTCACCATGTTGCCCATGCTGGTCTTGAACTCCTGAGCTCAAGTGGTCTGCCTGCCTCTGCCTAGCTTTTTTTTTTGAGATGGAGTCTTACTTTGTCACTCAGGCTGGAGTGCAGTGGTGTGATCTCAGCTCCCTGCAGCCTCCACCTCCTGGGTTCAAGCTATTCTCCTGCCTCAGCTTCCTGAGTAGCTGGGATTACAGGTAACTGTCACCAGCTCAGCTAATTTTTGTAATTTTAGTAGAGATAGAATTTTGCCATGCTGGTCAGGATGGTCTCCAACTCCTGACCTCAGATGATTGACCTGCCTTGGCCTCCCAACGTGTTGGCATTATAGACATAAACCACCCTGCCTGGCCCACCTTGGTTTTATAATAACCTAGGAACTAATCCATTTCCCAGAGAACCAATCTAGTCTTGTGAAAGCTAGAACTCACTCACTGACACTAGAATGGCACTGGTGATTCATAAGGGATCCATCCCCATAATCCAGATACCTCCCACTAGGCCTCATCACCTAGCTGTCACACTGGGGATCAAATTTCTTTTCTTTCCTTTTTTTTTTCCTTGAGACGGAGTTTCACTCTTGTTACCCAGACTGGAATGCAATGGCACGATCTCAGCTCACCACAACCTCTGCCTTCTGGGTTCAAGAAATTCTCCTGCCTCAGCCTCCCGAGTAGCTGGGACTACAGACACACACCACCATGCCCAGCTAATTTTTGTATTTTTGGTAGAGATGGGGTTTCACCTTGTTGACCAGGATGGTCTCAATCTCTTGACCTCGTGATCCACCCGCCTTGGCCTTTCAAAGTGCTGGGATTATAGGTGTGAGCCACAGCACCCGGCCTTCCTTTTTTTTTTTTTTTTAAAAGAGATGGAATCTTGCTCTCTCACCCAGTCTGGAGTACAGTGGCGTGATGTCTGCTCACTGCAATCACCACCTCCGGGTTCTAGCAATTCTCCTGCCTCAGCCTATTGAGTAGCTGGGGCTACAGGCACACGCTGCTATGCCCAGCTAATTTTTTGTATTTTAGCAGAAATGGAGTTTTACCATGTTGCCCAGGCTGGTCTTGAACTCCTGAGCTCAGGCAATCTACCTGCCTTGGCCTCCCAAAATACTAGGATTACAGGGGTGAGCCACTGCGCCCAGCCTGAGGATCAAATTTAAACATGAGATTTGGTGGGGGACAAATAAACCATATCCAAATCATACAAACCACCATCTATCTATTTCCCTAAGCGCCAAACTTAACATCTAGACTTTGGCTCACTTTTTAGATCTAATCTGTCACCCTCTAATTCTGTTCTTTCTTCTCAGCTATTATGACGTGCAGTCCCTGGTTTCCCTCACTTCTTTTTCTGTCATGACTGAGAAATATAAAGTGACCTGGACAGCTGCATGTTTTCCCCTGTAGGCTTAAACCCAAGCTGGGGCCTTGAACATTTGCAGGCAGTGAGAAAGATAACTAAGTTGTTGCCCAAAACACTGAAAAAAACTAGCTCCAGCCCTGAGCCAAATTTCTTAAACTCTCTCCTAAACTCCATTGCCCAACCCCTTAGTTGCAGACATATCTCGGGAGAATACCTCTTATCTCCCTGTCCCCAAGAGGACACCTTGCAACCCCTTCTGTTTCTAAGCTCCCCTAATAAAGGTGTTGGACTGATCACCTTGGCATCTAGTGCCTCCTGTTTTAGAAGTCCAACCAGACCCATCTCAGGATGGTTTTGGGCATTTACCTGTGGGTACTCCCCTGCTATGTTGACTCCAGCTTTGTGTTCAGCCAGGATGAAACATGGCAATAGGCCCTTATCATTTCTGTTCTGGATTATTAGAATAGCTTCTTCTTCTTCTTTTTTTTTTTTTTTGAGATGGAGTTTCGCTGTTGTTACCCAGACTGGAGTGCAATGGCACAATCTCGGCTCACTGCAGCCTCCGCCTCCTGGGTTCAGGCAATTCTCCTGCCTCAGCCTCCTGAGTAGCTGGGATTACAGGCACGCGCCACCATGCCCAGCTAATTTTTTGTATTTTTAGTAGAGATGGGGTTTCACCAAGTTGACCAGGATGGTCTCGATCTCTTGACCTCGTGATCCACCTGCCTCGGGCTCCCAAAGTGCTGGGATTACAGGCTTGAGCCACCACGACCGACCCTAGAATAGCTTCTTAAATTGATGATCCGCTGCCATTTTTATTCTGTAGCCCATTCTCCACAAGATGACTTATTTTCTTAAAATCTGACCATGCATATATTTAATATATTTATCTAGTGCTTACTATATTCCTGGCACTGCACAAAGTATAGTGTATATAATGTAAAATAGACACAGAGCCTGTTCTCAGAGAACTGCGATCTAGAGAACGGCTTGGGCAAGTACACAGGCAATACAAATGGAGTGTGATGTGCTGTGATGGTTACTTTTACATGTCAACTTGGCTGGGCCACAGTACCCAGATATTTAATCAAACATTATTCTGGATGTCTCTATGAGAGTGTTTTTGGATGAGACCGACATTCAAATCTGTGGATTTTGAGTAAAGCATGTTGCCCTTCATAATGTAAGTGAGCCTCATGAAATCAAGACCTGAACAGAACAAAAGATAGACCACCCCGAAACCCCTCCCCTCACTTCCAACAAGACAAATTCTGCCAGTGGACTTGAGCTGCAACAATACAAGGCCTTCCCTGGATGTCCAGCCTGTCCACCTACCCTGCAGATTTTTGACCTGCCCTCCTTTATTATTACGTAAGCCAATTCCTTAAAACAAATTTCTTTTATCCATTGGTGTCCATGGGAGATTGGTTTCAAGACCCCTGGAGATATCAAAATCCAAGGGTGCTCAGTTGCTTACAATATGGTGTTTGCATATGACCTATACACATAATTCATATTCTTTTTTTTTTTTCTGAGACAGAGTCTTGCTCTGTTGCCAGGCACTAGGCTGGAGTACAGTGGCACAATCTTGGCTCACTGCAATCTCCGCCTCCCAGGCTCAAGCAATTCTCCTGCCTCAGCCTCCCAAGTAGCTGGGACTACAGGCGTGCGCCACTACGCCCAGCTAATTTTTTTATGTTTTTTAGCAGAGATGGGGTTTCACCATGTCGGCCAGGATGGTCTCGATCTCTTGACCTCGTGAGCTGGCCAATACCAATTTTTTAAATACCAGTAGAACTATTTACACAACACTTACATTGTATTAGGTATTACAAGTAATCTAGAGATGATTTAAAGAATGTGAATTATGCCGGGTTCGGTGGCTCACGCCTGTAATCCCAGCACTTTGGGAGGCCAAGGCAGGTGGATCACGAGGTCAAGAGATAGAGATCATTTTGGTCAACAAGGTGAAACCCCGTCTCTACTAAAAATACAAAAATTAGATGGGTGTGGTGATGTGCACCTATAGTCCCAGCTACTCGAGAGGCTGAGGCAGGAGAATTTCTTGAACCCAGGAGGCGGAGGTTGCAGTGAGCCGAGATTGCGCCACTGCACTCCAGCCTGGGTAACAACAGCGAAACTCCATCTCGAAAAAAAAAATTGGTATTATTGTTATTGTATTATTTTTTCTTTTTCTGAATATTTTCAATATGCAGTTGGTGGAGGGCCAACTGTATATACATCCTATTGATTCTGTTTATCTGGAAAAGCCTGACTCATGCAAATGCCCTATGATGGAGGAAGTATAGGATGCCATGGGAGTATGGAACAATGACACCTAACCCAGCCTTGAGGGGTCAGGGAAGACAATATCTCAAACCATGTTCATGAGTGGATTTCATCTCAGGTACCACTGGAATAACTTGGTAGTAGCTGTCCAGTTGTCTGATCCTTCAAAGGACTTGAAGCCACATCAGGGATTGGGGGAAAGAATGTCATGTAAAAAGAAGGACAATTAAATTTGAGGCTTTGCTAGTTAGCAGGGGCCAGATCATTAGCAGGTCTTGTAATGTTTCTAAGTGAGACTACTTGACCTTCAGGGCAGTTGGATGCCATTAAAGTCAGGAAATCACTTGGTCAGATTTTCATTTAGGAATTTACTCGATGTAGAAAAATGAGAAATGTAGTAAAGTTTTAAAAATATTTTATAAATGAGGAATATGAGGTTAAAAGGGTTAAGTAAACCTCCTAAGATTATATCCCTACTAAGTCTGGAGTCTGATTTCGAACCCAGCTCTGTCCAGCCCATCGTTGTTCTGTGTATGATCTTCCAGTGCACAAATGCCATCACAGTTGTCCTTAATATGCCACAGTCTTTCATGTTCATTCATTCCTGCAATATTTGTGGAGTCTTCCTTGGGCTAACAGTCGGAAATAGAAACATAAACAAATTTTAATTATCTTCAAGGGGGCCATGAGCCAGTAGTGAATATAGAAATATAAACCAATAATTAAAAAATAATAAAAATACAGTGTAATTAGAGTGAGAGTAAAGTTGCATTGAGCAGTAATTGTAGAGGGCACAAAGTACTGCCTAACTCTGCCTGGACATTATGAGGAGCTTCTCAGAGATGGAAACAATTGAGTTGAATCTTGAAGGATGTTTAGAAGTTTTTGTGGAGAGGAAAGGCACAAAACATTCAAGGAGGCAAAGTGAGAGAGAGACTTGCATAGATTCTATATGGCCAGAGCATAGCTATATATTGTACTAGGAAGACACATGGGGTCACAAAGAACTCTAAAAAACTCTATAAAAGAGTGGGCCAGGCTCAGTGGCTCACCCCTGTAATCCCAGCATTTTGGAAGGCTGAGTCGGGCAGATCACGAGGTCAGGAGTTCGAGACCAGCCTGATCAACATGATGAAACCTCGTCTCTACTAAAAATACAAAAATTAGCTGGGCATGGTGGCGTGTGCCTGTAATCCCAGTTACTCGAGAAGCTGAGGCAGGAGAATTGCTTGAATCTGGGAGGCGAAGGTTGCAGTGAGTAGAGATTGCATCACTGCACTCCCACCTGGGACGACAGAGGGAGACTCTGTCTCAACAACAACTACAACAAAAACAACATCAAAACCAACCAACCAAACCAAACAAAAGCAAACATAGTGGAATTTGGGCTTTGACCTGAAAGGAAGGGAAGCAGGGAAATGACAAGTTTAGAATTGCTCTTTAGAACCTTGTGAGGGTGTGGTTAGAAAGAGTATGGGGCAGCTGGGTGGGGTGGCTCACGCCTATAATCCCAGCACTTTGGGAGGACGAGGCAGATGGATCATGAGGTCAAGAGATTGAGATCATCCTGGTCAATGAGGTGAAACCGCATCTCTACTAAAAATACAAAAATTAGCTGGGCATGGTGGTGTGCACCTGTAGTCCCAGCTACTCGGGAGGCTGAGGCAGGAGAATTGCTTGAACCCAGAAGGCGGAGGTTGTGGTGAGCTGAGATCGTGCCATTGCACTCCAGTCTGGGTAACAACAGCGAAACTCTGTCTCGAAAAAAGAAAGACTATGGGTGTGCTATAGCTGGAACCTGAACAACGCCATTTTATATACAAGACAAAGCTGTTTTCCAAAAATAAGTTGTAATGGCTGCCCCATTCTCCTCACAATGACTGCTAACCTTGGCTTCTGTAAATAAAACTGCTAGCTTGCTCTGCAAAATGCCCACTATATAAAGCTGCTTACCTTTTCTTATCAGTAACTGCCAGAATTGCCGACCTTTGCTTATTAGTAATGGCCAGAGTAAGCAGCCCAAGCTAATTCCATCCTGGCCCCTGTGACTTGTAATAAGTAACTAAGATCTGTAATTTCCACCACTACCCAGATGATGTGTAAACTAATGCTTATTTTGACTTCTGTAAACCACTTAGGTAACAATCGAAGTGACAAGTCCCCTAGCCCTTGGAATGTCCAGAGACCCTCACCCTGGGAGGTGGTTTAAGGGCATAAAAAGGTCTTGTCACCCTCCTTTCAGGGCCATGGGTTGGAGAGATGTGAGTCCTCCTTGGTCGCCGGCAATAAAGACCCTGCTATTTGGCATACTTTTGTCTTGGTGCTAATTTTGTACTCTATCCAAATACTTCATTTGGAGGCCCCAGCGAGATTTCTTCTCTTTTTGTTTATCACCAGACAAAAGCCATCTCAGAGTCTCATCCAGGTGGCCACTCTCACCTTAGGAGCCTCTAGGGGAGGTGCCCCCTGAGTTGCTCCAGGGCCATAGAGTGCCACCATGAAGGATCAGTGACCACCCGGCCGACGTTCACTCAAAATTCTTCAGGGTCCTAAAAAGCCTCCAGAGGTAAGTTTGGTCTGTAATCTAATCTGGAATCTGGGAACTAGTTCAAGGGGGGCCTGAGTCAGGGGACTGGACACAGTCATTGCAACTCTGACCAGGCAAACCTCACCGAGACGTCGCTTGAGGCTCCTGGTGTCTGATGCAGAGGGTGTCAGCCTTCTGGTAGCTGGTACAGTGGGTATCAGCATCTGGTAGCTGCAATAGTGGGTACCAGCATTGGATTGTTTTCCATAAACTCTGTGTGAATGAGAGAGTGAATGTGTATATATGTAGTCCCATGGCTGGAAAGCTACGGGGCTTGTGTGGGCCTTCACCTGCGGTTCCACAGGAACGTCATAAGGCATAACGGTGATTCACCTCAGAGCTGTCCTAATCGGACCTCCATCCTGAGGTGACCAGGCCCTGGGATTATATGGGTACACCTTAGCCAAGATGCCCTGAAACATCTCTCCGGGAACGTGGCCGGGCAGGCATCAGTCTCGTCTCCCATCTGGGGGGTTCCCATCCTTTTTCTGTCAATCCTATATGTGGTTCTGTCCTTATTGTAAATTCACCTGTTTTGTTAGACTCCTGTTAGCTGAAAAACAGTGGTTTAGACCTGTTATTCTTGAGGTGGATAATATTCTCCATTGGCTAAGTGACCACTGACTTCAAGAAACTCTAATTGAGTTTACACCTCTGGAAACAATTCTGTTTTCTTTCCTTTTCTTCTTCTTATACTGTCATTGAGGCCTTATTCTTCCTTTTTTTTTTCATATCTGAGAGAAAATTCTGCCCCCGATGACTTAGGTGTGGTTTTTTTTTCTCTGTTTTAGAGAATCAAACTTTAAATAAGAAACTACCTCCACTCTTTGCCCTTTTAGGGTTAAAAAAAAAAAGGAGTAATTGTCTCTTCTGTCAAAAGAAACAGAAACAGGGAAGGAAAGAGGAGAGAGGACCAGAAAGTAGGGGAGGAAAAGAACGAGAGAGGAGACAGAGAACAGAGAGAAAGAGAGAAAGTAGACAGAAGAGAGAGGAGAGAGGACAAGAAAGTAAGAGAGGGGAAGAAGAGAGAGGAGACAGGAGAGAGAGAGAGTAGACAGAGGAGAGAGGAGACAGAACAGAGAGAAAGAGAAGAGGAGACAGAAAAGAGAGGAGAGAGGACAAGAAAGTAAGAGGGGAAGAAGAGAGGAGACAGAAAAGAGAGAGAGAGGAAACAGAAGAGAGAGAGAGAGAAGAGAAACAATAAGTAGACAGAAGAGAGGAGAGAGGAGAAAAAGGAGAGAGGAGACAGAGACAAAGAAAAAAAAGAGAGCAAGGAGAGAGAGATAGGGAGACAGGAATTTAATGCTTTTTAGAGTCCCTGTGTCAAGGTGACCAAATGCTGCAGGGGCAGGGAACTCGCAGCCAGCCCAGCAGCTTAGAGCTCAGTTTTTAAACTAACACAAAAAGCATTTTTTTTTTTTCTTTCTCTGCCAGCCGCCAGCCCCACCCGGCTTTCAGGCAGGCCACACTGCCTTAGGGTGCAGTATTTGCATCCAAAATCTGGCTTTAAGAACAGCTTTCTAATTCTCTGTAATGCAAGTTACTTGTTAGCACAGTAGTTAAGGTGTTGGGTCTGCAACTGCAAGGTTGTTGGTTCAAATCCTCAGTGAAGCCTAGTAGAATCTCTGGGGAAATTCAAAAACTGAAGGCTATACAGTTGGATTTAGTCCAACAACCCTGCTGTGGCTGAAACGCTGCACAAAACAGGCTAGACTTCAGGTCATGTTAGCCGGCCCAAAGAGAGCCCCTTCTGGGCCTGCCATTCTCCCCACCCCAGCGGAGGATCAGGAATTACCTCAACCCTACCTAATGCCCTCTGAACCAGGGCCTCAGCACCCCCTCAACAGTACTAGTAAGTAAACCTTGTCCCCCCCTGCACCCCTGCAGTGGGGCCCCACACCCACTGGCGGTCCTTCCTCTCCAAGAGGCGCCCCCAACAGGAGAAGACAATTGGGGTTGCCCATTCTTTGTTCACATCCCCTTCTTGTCAAGTGACTTATAAAACTGCAAGGTGATAGAAATTAAAGAGAGGGCCAAAACACCAAGTGCTGGCACTTTATTAAGAGCAAGGGAAAATCTGCTGGGCTGCACCCAAAATTGGCACGCAGCAGCCATGGCGTGGCAAAGGGGATTTTTATGGCCTGCAAGCCGGTAGATGCCTCCAGTGTGAGGGGCTCTGCAGGAGGGGAGGGGCTGGGGAATTACTGAGTTTAATAGTTCCTGGGAGGGGTTCATGCGGGGAACTGCTAAGATGGCAAGAGGGGAAGGGTTAGAAACCTGTTGAGCTGGAAGGTTTCCCGGGAGGGGGTCGTGCTGGGAGGCTGGGCAACTTAAGGCGATGGTGGGGTTTTATAATGGAGTAAGCTCTGTCTGAAGGCTCAACATCGCCCGTGCTCTGAGAAGCCCCAGGCTTTGACAGGTCTCTTAGAATCTGTACTGCAGACTCATCGCCCCACTTGGGACGACTGCCAACAATCATTACTGAGTCTGTTCACCACAGAGGAAAGAGGCAAAATTAGACAGGAAGCCCTGAAAGCCATCATAGGTCAAGGGTGAGGAACAGTAGAAAAAAAGGTGGGGGACCAAATTAAAAAGGCTTTTTTCCTCTACCTGACCCCAATGGGGGCCCAACACCTTGAGGGGTCACCAGGCTCTGAACACTTTTCACCGGTATCTTTAAGATGGGGTTGGGGAGCAGCCTGCAAGCTCACTAACCGCTCCATCGTAGGCACTGTAACTCAGGGTCTGCAGGAGTCACTGGCTGCCTTTCTTGAGTGTCTACAGGACGCTTATCTCACCTACACTCCTATTGACCCCGAGGCTCCAGAAAATCAGTGGGCCATCAATCTGGGTTTCATTTCCCAGTCAGCCCCAGATATTAAAAGAAAGTTACAGAAGTTAGAGGGATTCCAGGGAATAAATTTAACCCAATTGCTGGAAATTGCCCAGAAAGTTTTTAATAACAGGGATACTCCTAGAGCCACACAAAACAAAAAAATTACTAAGGCAGAAATAGCAGCCCTTCAGAAGTCATTCCATGAGAGCAGGGGGCCTTGTAAAAGGGTCCCTGGGGTCCCTGGCCCCATTAGGAAGAAACCAATGTGCGTACTGTAAGGAAGAGAAAATTAGAAAGAATGAGTGCCCCAAGAGAAGAAGCAGAGTAATCGCTCAGGAAAATCCACTGAGGGCTATCCTCAATTTAGAAGGTCAGGATTGATGGGGCTGGGGCTCTTATTTACTAAGCCCCCAAGAGCTCAGGATCACTTTAAGAGTTGGGGACAAACCTGTCAGTTTCTTAGTCGACACTAGGTGGCCCACTTAGTCCTTAGCCTCTGGGACCACTATCCAGTAAAAAAAAAAAAAAACACAATTATCAAGGGGCCACAGGGAAAAAAAAAAACACACAACAAGCCCTTGGACCACCAACCGACTCATTGATTTGGGGAACGACACCGTCACCCACTCCTTCTTAGCCATTCAAGAGTGTCTGTACCCACTCCTAGGACAGGACTTACTTCACAAACTTCAAGCAAGAATTTCTTTCTGTGAGAGTCAGGCTTGCCTCTCAATTCCTCCTCCCTTGGAATCAGGGCCACCTCAGCAAATCATCAGCTGAGCTCTGTCACATGAGTATCTCTTGCAGGAAACTTTATCCTCAGAGACAGATCAACCGCCAACATCAGACCTCCTCCGCCAACTCCAAGAGAATATACCTGGAGTGTGGGCTGAAACAAATTCCCCAGGCTTGGCAAGTCGCCGTACCCCAGTCATGATTCAGTTACTGGCAACGGCAACTCCAGTGCAGGTACGAAAATATCCCATGAGCCAGGAAGCCAGATGGGGAATTGCTCCACATATAACCAGACTCCTAAGAGGAGGGATACTTACTACCTGTAAGTCCCCCTGAAATACCCCATTGCTCCCCGTCTTAAAACCAGGCACAAAGGACTATCGGCCTGTACAGGACTTAAGGGAGGTCAACAAATGAGTGGAAACTGTCCACCCTACGGTTCCAAATCCATACACCCTCCTAAGTCTCTTGGGCCCAGAACACCATCATTATACTGTCCTGGATCTCAAGGATGCATTCTTTAGCATCCCACTGGTCCCTATTAGCCAGCCCATATTTGCTTTTGAATGGACTGACCCCGATACTGGGGTTTCAGGGCAATTCACTTGGACAAGACTGCCTCAGGGGTTCAAAAACTCCCCTACTCTGTTTGATGAGGCACTTAGCCAAGATCTTGCCACCTTCTGAGCTGAGTTCCCTGAGTGTACCTTACTCCAATATATGGATGATTTACTATTGGCTACAGAAACCCAGGAGGCCTGTAAAGAGACCACCCAATCATTATGAAAGACCCTACAGACTTTGGGTTACCGGATCTCAGCTAAAAAGGCCCAACTCTGCCAACCAAAAGTTACTTACCTGGGCTATATCAGACAAGGACAACTGGGCACTGGCACCTAGCCGAGTCCAAGCGGTGCTACAAATACCCACCTCCACCACAAAACGCCAAGCTCGAGAATTCCTTGGGGCGCTAGGGTACTGCAGGCTATGGATTTTGGGATTTGCTGAGATAGCCAAGCCCCTGTATGCCTGCACTGGAGAAAATCAGCCCTTGACATGGACAGAGATAGAGCAACAGGTTTTGACAAGCTTAAGACTGCCCTGACTACAGCCCCAGCCTTGGCCTTGCCAGATTATCTCTAAACCCATCTGGTTGTTTGTGCATGAAAAACAGGGAGTTGCTAAGGGGGTGCTTACCCAGTCGTTGGAACCATGGTCCCGGCCAGTCACCTACCTTTCAAAAAGACTTGATCCTGGCTGGGTGTGGTGGCTCACGCCTGTAATCCCAGCACTTTGGGAGGCCGAGGCGGGTGGATCACGAGGTCAACAGATCGAGACCATCCTGGTCAACATGGTGAAACCCAGTCTCTACTAAAAATACAAAAAATTAGCTGGGCATGGTGGCGCGTGCCTGTAATCCCAGCTACTCAGGAGGCTGAGGCAGGAGAGTTGTTGCCTGATCCCAGGAGGTGGAGGTTGCGGTGAGCCAAGATCGCACCATTGCACTCCAGCCTGGGTAACAAGAGCAAAACTCCATCTCAAAAAAAAAAAAAAAAAAAAAAAAAAAAAGACTTGATCTCGTAGCCTCTGGATGGCGAGCTTGTCTGAGGTCGGTGGTAGCTACAGCCCGGTTAGTCAAGCAGGCAGACAAATTTACCTTGGGGCAGGAGTTAAACTTAGTGGCACCACATGCTGTGCAGTCACTACTCCGTGGAGCTCCTGGAAAATGGATGTCAAATACCTGCATTGTTCAATATCAGGCCTTACTTTTGGACCAGCCCCGCATAAAATTTTTCAAGGCTACAGTTTTAAATCCCACCATGCTGCTACCAGACAGCGAACTGGAGGAGCCCAAACACAACTGTCAACAGAGAATGGACGTCCCCCATGCAGCTTGACCGGACCTCACCGACGTCCCCCTGCAGAACCCAGAAGAGGTACTGTATATGGATGGCAGCAGTTTCATGGTCGAGGGCATCAGGTATGCTGGGGCAGCTGTAGTCACCCTAGATTGGCTTGTCTGGGCCCAGGCTCTTCCACATGAAACCTCGGCCCAAAAGGCAGAACTCATAGCTCTGACAAAGGCCTTAGACTGGGCGAAGGGAAAAACTGTCAACATCTATACAGATAGCCGATATGCTTTTGCTATGGCCCATGTACATGGAGCCATTTATAGAGAAAGAGGGTTGTCTACCTCAGAAGGAAAAATCATCAAAAACAAAGAGGAAATCCTCGCTCTACTAGAAGCTATATGGAAGCTCAAGGCAGTGGCATTAATACACTGCAAAGGACACCAGAAAGGAGATTCACCAGAGGCAAGGGGAAATAGGGCAGCAGACCTACAAGCCAGATAGGCAGCCTTGGAACCAGCGAAACCTTTGACTCTTCTTGTAACTCTGCTGGCCCCAACCCTGCCCCTACCCCTATGTACTCACTTGATGAAGAAAGCTTTGCTAAAAAACAGGAGGTATGACAAGATTCCACAGGATGGTGGACTCTACCAGGTGCAAGGATTGTGCTCCCCAAGGCTCTAGGATGGACTCTAGTTAAGGACACACACCAGGCCACTCACTTAGGGCAAACAAAACTCACTGAGCTGTTGAGGGCCGGATAATACATTCCACATTTACATAAAATTGTTAGGGAAACTACTACTCGAATGTGATGTATGTGCCAGGGTAAATCCAGGAGGCAGTGGGTCTAGTCATGCAGGGTTAAGACTTAGGGGTACTAGCCCAGGGGAACACTGGAAGGTAGATTTTACTGAAATAAAGCCCCGAGCATGTGGCTATAAATACCTCCTCGTGTTTGTAGACACTTTCTTAGGATGGCTTGAGGCTTTTCCTTCTAGGTCAGAAACCGCACTGGTAGTAACAAAAAGATCGTTACAGGACCTGGTTCCTCAGTTCGACTTGCCCCTGACACTGGGATCAGATAATGGCCCTACATTTACAGGCAGGTTTCTCGGGGCCTGGCCAAGGCCCTGGGCATATCCTGGAAACTACACTGTGGCTATCGCCCCCAGAGTTCAGGGCAGGTTGAAAGGCTGGACTGGACCATAAAGGAGACTAACAAAATTCATTCTAGAGACCGGTGAAAACTGGGTCAACCTGCTTCCTTTTGTTCTCCTCTGTACCCGATGTACTCCCTATAGGAAAGGCCTCACTCCTTTTGAAATTATGTTTGGAAGGCCCCCTCCCTTACTTCCCAAACTTGTAGACACCATACATGCTGAAGTCCATAACCACACACTCCTTAAGTCCTTACCGGCACTCCAGTATGTTCAGTCCCAGGTGCACCCATTCATCAGGGGAACTCGACCCATTCCAGTGGACCTCACTGACCAGCCGGTACACCCCTTCCAGCCAGGGGACAAAGTCCTGGTAAAGATATTCACCGCCTCTGGCTTAACTCCTCGCTGGAAAGGACCGTGATCCTGGTCACCCCCACGGCAATCAAGGTGGACGGACTAACTGCCTGGATTCATCATTCACATGTCAAGACTGCCCCCCCGGATGAAAGATGGGAGGTGGTTCCATCCTCAACGGACCCCTTAAAGCTAAGACTATTGCGCTGTTATCGAACGTCGTCCTAATCTTCCTGATTCTTAAAGAAAGGAGGGCTGTGCGCCACACTCGGCGAACAATGTTGCTTCTACACAAACAAATCCGGGCTCATTTGGGACAGCCTTGCAATGGTTAGGCAAAACTTAGAAGAAAGCAACTTAGAGAGGCCTCAGAAAATTGGTACCAAAAATTATTTTCATGGTCTCCTTGGTTAACATCTCTGCTCACTGGACTAGCGGGACTCTTGGTCCTAATGATCTTAGGGTTAATATTTGGACAGTGCCTTTTAAACATGCTCCTCAAATGTATCCAGGAAACAATAGACTCGGTAAAGTTGATGGTTCTGAGATCCAACTATGGGCCCTTGTGCCAAGAAGAGGAAACCTATGAAAGATTTAATACCTGTTAAAAGAACGGGGGGAATGTGCTATAGCTAGAACCTGAACAATGCCATTTTGTATACAAGACAAAACTGTTTTCCAAAAATAAGTTGTAATGGCTGCCCCATTCTCCTCACAATGACTGCTAACCTTGGCTTCTGTAAATAAAACTGCTAGCTTGCTCTGCAAAATGCCCACTATGTAAAGCTGCTTACCTTTTCTTATCAGTAACTGCCAGAATTGCCGACCTTTGCTTATTAGTAATGGCCAGAGTAAGCAGCCCAAGCTAATTCCATCCTGGCCCCTGTGACTTGTAATAAGTAACCAAGATCTGTAATTTCCACCACTACCCAGATGATGTGTAAACTAATGCTCATTTTGACTTCTGTAAACCACTTAGGTAACAATCGAAGTGACAAGTCCCCTAGCCCTTGGAATGTCCAGAGACCCTCACCCTGGGAGGTGGTTTAAGGGCATAAAAAGGTCTTGTCACCCTCCTTTCAGGGACACGGGTTGGAGAGACGCGAGTCCTCCTTGGTCACTGGCAATAAAGACCCTGCAATTTGGCATACTTTTGTCTTGGTGCTAATTTTGCACTCGATTCAAATACTTCATGGGGCTACATAGAAGAGGGTACTGCACTGATGAGGATATGAGATAAAGCCTTGGAAATGGGTGGTTATCTTAGGTAAAGTCAGTTGTGCATTTGACTCTTCTACTGGCAGCCAGCCTCACTCTTGTCTCCTTCCTACTCAAAGTAAATTTATCCTTCTTTTCCTTCAGCCCCTAATTAAGCTGTTTGCTGACTTAAACATAGCTTCCTCATTCCCAATAGTCTCTCTAATGAAGCGGTGGCTCACACCTATAATCCCAGCACTTTGGGAGGCTGAGGTGGGTGGATCACAAGGTCAAGAGATCGAGACCATCCTGGTCAACGAGGTGAAACCCCATCTCTACTACAAATACAAAAATAGCTGGGCATGGTGGTGCACTCCTGTAGTCCCAGCTACTCGAGAGGCTGAGGCAGGAGAATTGCTTGAACCCAGAAGGCGGAGGTTGCGGTGAGCCGAGATCGTGCCATTGCACTCCAGTCTGGGTAACAACAGTGAAAAAAAAAAAAAAGAAATGCTAGCTATGCTTTCAGCAGCCTTGATAGATGACAAGAGGTGCTACTCCCACGTCATTAAAAAAACCCTGCAACTTCCCTGCAAAGGAACTGAATGAAAGAGAATTAGCCACCCCATCTCTGAAAGATTATTAACTTCTGTTTTTTACCATGTTCATAAAATAGGATGATGATAAGGATATGCCAATCTTATTTATTTATTTATTTGTTTGTTTGTTTGTTTTTAATGAGCTAGGGTCTCACTATGTTGGTCAGGCTGCTCTTGAATGCCCGAGCTCAAGTGATCCTCCCGCCTTGGCCTCCCAAAGTTCTGGGATTACAGGCATGAGCCACCATGCCTGGCCAGTCTTAGTTGATTGTTATTTTTATTTTCCTTTGAGACAGAGTCTTGCAATCATAATTCACTGAAACACCTGGGCTCAAGGGATCCTCCTGCCTCTGCCTTCTGAGTAACTGAGACTACAAGTGCATGCCACCATGTCTGACTTATTAAAAAAAAATTGTAGAGAAATGGTCTTGCTATGATGCCTAGGCTGGTTCCAAACTCCTGACCTTAATAGATCCTCCTGCCTCAGCCTCCCGAAGTGCTGGGATTACAGGTATGAGCCACTGTGTCTGGTCCTTGATTTATGTTTAAGAGGTTTCTTATAGAAGAAAAATTACTCACTTACAAAAAAAAATTACTGACTTACAAAACTTAATATTAAACTTCATTTATTAAGTGACTACAATGTGTCAAGAATTGTACATGGAGCTTCACATATAATATTTCAATTATCACAACATCTTTGAAAAGTGGTTAATATTAACATTTATATTTTACAGATGATTAAACTGAGTAGTTGAAAGTTTCATAGTGTAGCATTTGCAATCTAACTAAAGTTCATATTATATCGAAATCCATTCTCTTTACACAACCTTATAATATCTTTGTGTGTAGGTGTGCTGATTGTATACTCATATGTTAGGTAGGTCTGTTCACTTTGAGGTGCCTACTCATATTTGTAATTACACTTCCTTCTAATTAATTTCTGATTGTCCCTAGACATTAGATTTATTTCACTAAGCATTCTTTTTTTTTTTTCTTTCTTTTTTTTTTTTTAAATGGGGTCTTGATCTGTCACCAGGCTGGAGTGCAACGGAGTGATCTTGGCTCACTGCAACCTCCGTCTCCCAGGTTCAAGCGATTCTCCTGCCTCAGCCTCCAGCGTAGCTGGGACTACAGGTGCGCACCACCATGCCCAACTAATTTTTGTATTTTCAGTAGAGAAAAGTTTCACCATGTTGGCTGGGATGGTCTCGATCTCTTGACCTCCTGATCCACCTTGCTCAGCCTCCCAAAGTGCTGGGATTACAGGTGTGAACCATAGCACCCAGCCTCACTAAGCATCCTTTAATGAAAAAATCATATGATAATTTGTTGGGTGTGGTGGCTCATGCCTGTAATCCCAATACTTTGGGAGGCCAAGGTGGATGGATCACTTGAGATCGGGAGT